ATTAAATGAATTTTGGTGCTTCTTTGACAACCACTTCTGGTGCACCCTCGCGCATGCCTGTGCCTGAGGATATGCCTCCCTCCCCCTCCTCCTCCTCCTCCTCCTCCTGCATCTCCTCCGTCAAGCCACAAGTGCTAACCAAAATTACTACAATTAATAGTTTAGTTGTAAGTTAGAAAAAAAACAATTATAAATATCACTATTAGTCAAGCTTTTATCGTGCCACCCATCAGAAGGAATGACTGTTTCTGTCCATTTTCTCTTGTATAAAATGATTAACAATTTATGAACGAAGTGACGACGGGATTGCAAGACATCCTTAGTGGCATCCACTCGAAAGGGTTGTTTGCTTCACCACACACTTGTCCAAGGGAAGATGCTGACAAAAGACTCTCAAGTCAAGCGGCAGAGGACTACCTGCGAGTCCATGTGTGCCCGGAGGCACTGGAGGGCAGTCCTTTTAGTAGGAAATCGCATCCTCTACAAACTGCATCGCTGACATCGTCAGGAATAACCACTACACAGACGCAGGGTATCTGTTGTGCGTGGCTGCACCTGCACAGATCTACGGCAGTAAGATTGCCGAAATCACTGCTGATCGTAGCGCCTTTTATGATTCCAAGTTGCTCAGCAGCGGGTCAGCTGATGGGGTGGAGATTCTAAAAACATGGTACATGGACATGGTAGGATGTCCACTGTAGGTTCCATGCAGCACTGCGAATTGACAAAGTTGCTCATTTTTCTTATTGCCCAAAACCCTGTTGTAACCGGAAATTGTATTTCCTGTCCTGCAAGTACCTATCAAGGTGACCGATCACTTGAAATCGTACTTGTTTCCCTTCAAAGTACAGGAGAAAGGCGTTCCACCTGCATCCTCCCACATTTTGGGACTGGTGGCCAGGTTAGAGTTATAAACCCTATCTGACTAAAATGCGAGACTTTAGCCATGGAAATCTTGTGTATAACGACCAGCACTTTGAAGGGCATCCAAATTCCTCATTCCTTTTAGGGGATGATGGGAACTAATATTGCACTATCACTTACACCAACTACTAAGCGAGAATGAGTCCCACCCACAGGACAGCCATCAACAGGGAACAATGGATTGGAGGAGCAGTCAACACTTTATTATCATTTGTCACCTACGTTATGGGCTCTTTTGTATTCCAACACCTGTTAGGTAACGACACTGACCCTCCCCCTTCCCCAAACTCTCTATCCACCCACAACCCACCGCACACCTACTTCATTACAAAAGACAGCCGCCTTTCATCAGGTCTATGTGTTTGTTGCTGTAATGGTCTTCTGAGAGGGATCCCTACAGTCATCGATAGCTTGCAATTGTTCGCCCTCTGAAGGCCGATCGGCATCGACTGCAAAACGTCGACTTCGTGCAACTCAATGGTGTGTGAGAGGACATCCTTGGAAAAAGCAAAAACCTACCAATGCAGCTGAGCATAGCAGGTTTTACAGCTTTTAAGGGGTTACATGACATTAGAAAATTGTTTGAGAAATTATTTATCTGTAAGGAACTCTCATTCTTAAATCTATAGGGCCTTATGCGACTGCGGTTTGGACTCGCCTATAGCAATGACGAAAATGACGATTTCAGAGTGAGGACAATTTCACCACTTTGCCAAAAAACACGTCAACGTTGTTGACCTTACTTGCAAGCCGCCTCTGTAAAATAACTCTTCCACAAACAGCCCTAGTTTGTTCGCTCTCTTATCGTTGGCTTTTGATTGCCATTCACTGGATCTGCAATTACTTCAGTTTTCTAAATTAGCATTTTGTTTCCACGAGGCAATAGACCATATATTGGTGTAGTTTTGGCTTCATTCTACGGGAAGCATTTGACAAAAGCAATCTCAAAAAGGCTTCGACTATACAGCAATGGACACGTGTGCACGTGTTTAAGGCTCCTAACTGACCATCAATACTGAAGGCATAATTGAGGCTTTTGCAGATACTGATGCTGATTTATAACTACGCTATAGCTGGCATTTTTCCGACATTGCCTTATTTTTTATTTCATCTTTTTTTGGCGATGACTAAACAGACTACCGAAGGCTTCCATCCGAAAATGGCATAACTTGCAAGTCCGGTAACTTAATATTCTTTAGTTTATTTTTGCTAATTTATCCCCCTCTCAAATGTACACGAATAAATGACAATAGATTATTCTGTTTGGAAATCCAAGTCTTGTAAATCGTAGAGGAGCCCTGATTGGTTCAAAACCGACCAATGAGAAAATCGTTAATCAACCAACGTAAATTGGAGACTACCGACATCGAGTATCAGTTTCCAGTTTTGATCCCTCTATTCCATCATGAATTGAACACATCTGAGGTGCAAACCTCACCAGCGTCTAGAAGGTGCCTTTAGCATAAATATCAGATATTTTCAAATTGCGAACTGATATTTCCACAATGTATCACTTTATGCCTAAAAAGGAGTTGACCGTGTCGAAGCGTCTTCGTATATTTTATCAAAATTATAGAATTCTACATGGTAGAATCCTACTACCATCTTGTCTTTGCACCAGGATGAAAACTGCAGACAAGAGCAGCCAAATGGTGTTACTCAAGAACGTCCAACTCCCAATTCTCTTCAAAACTTAAAGGCACAGGAGCCAAAGGTGAGGAAGACACTTTTAAGCACCCAGCCTTTTTCATCCTGAGACCGGTTGGACGACGGGAACTGTTAGTACTGGCGTTCAAAGCGTTACATATAATTTTTTAGATCTGTTTTTGAGCGCATTCAAGACAAGCACCATCCGTGAAGGGAGGCCTGCACAATGAAGTTCACTTACCTCCATTTCAAAGAAAGAAGAGGAAGAAGAAGAAACCGCAAACCCTTCATGACCTTGAGTGAGAAGGTCTTCACGCACAAATGGCTTTATTTGGGTGAATTTGTACGCATGAATGCATGTAGTCGAAAGCGTGTATGTGAGTATGCGTATAGATGTGTATGTATTTGTGTGGGTTGTCATTGTTGCTTTCTCCCGAATATTTAGTTTTATGTATAATATAAATACATTCACACTCATTCATTCGAGCGAGCTAACAGCAGCACCACCACAATCAGCACATTGAGATATTATTATAGAACAGAAGTAGTGGAAAGGAAGAGATAGAAAGAGAGGAGAAGTTAGGGGCAAGGAGAAGAAAATTCAACAACACACTACAAGCTTCGTTTCGTCTTTCCTTGGTTCCGATAAATAGAGCGGGTGAATGATCGCATACAAACAAAAGGAACACAATCATTCGGTTGTGGGTATATCGGTGAGTTAGCCGGCGATAAATAGATGCCTCAGTTGGTCAGCCCGCGTGCGAACGACAGCAGGAGAGGAGTGAAGGGAAAGGAGGCAGGGTGGAAGGACCTAGCTCAGCCAGATGGAATGCACACTCACGAGGTTAAGAGGATGTGGCTGTGGAAGAGGAGATAAGCTGAAGGAGAGAGTGAGTTGAAAGCACCAATAAGAGAACACTAAGAGAAGGGAAGGAGGGAAGAGAAAACGGATCGATAGCGTCGGTGTGTGGTGGTACAAGGACTGTCTGTACACACGCTACTGGGACTCGGACCCAGACCCGAATCAACGGATTAGCTCATCAGAGGGGATAGGCGATGCTGGCCGCGGTGCTGAGAGACCCACTAGGATTGTTGGGCTGACCAGGCGTGTTCAGGCAGGACCGATGCACGTGAACGTTCTGCCAGACTCCATGACGGCGCGCCCACACCCGTGTCTCCTCCGTCTGCTGTGTGTACAACACATCCGACCTGAAACACGGAAGACCACCATCCGATAGTATTTGCTTGTGATACATACTCAAGCTCTATAGTCTTTGCAAAAGACTATAATGATTTCTCAACAACATCCTCAGTTGTAAATCCAAAGTCATACTAGAGACAGAGAAGTAGAAAATGATTGATGATCTGTATTTCTTACAAAGAACATTGTGGCTTTGCCAATACTGCAAATGCGGTCTACATCTGAAGGAGAAACAATGTGAAGAATGTCCCACAGAGGAGACATTCGTCGATGACGTGGTAAAGACACAAAAAACTCACAGCCACCATTTGGGCGATAATAAAGAGCCCCATTACCCAATGGTCATGTTTGAAGAATGAGCTAGTTCAGGGCATTTCCCGTGCAGGACAGGATGGACAGATGCCACAGAGATCCAACGATCTTCATCAAAATGGCCCTCACACCTACAGGGGTGCTTCGACAATGCTTACAAATGCATCAACTTTTATCCACGGTTCTCTACTAACGTCCTTTTAAGGTGACTTGGGCGTCACAGAAATATTTGCATAAGCAGAAGCACTTCCGGCAGCAACTCAATGCGAACAGAATAATTTCGACAGCTGCCATTAAAATGTGGATGCAGGAAAGAGGAGTAAGCGTAAAACGCCATTGGATCTACCTTCACTCTTAGACGTCGATATGACCAAAGCGGAGGGTGGATGAAACTATAGACTCTAGAACACCTTCGATTTGTAGGCGACTGAAAATCAAACGAAGGGACTAGAGACAAATGCGCGACTAATAATGGTGCTTGTTGAACTACTAGAATGAAGGCTGCCCTCCTTCTCAATAACCACATCCACAGACCGATGCAAACTGGGACGTTTCAGGTGCGATGTTTTATTTAAAAAAAAAAAAACAAAAAGACGTTACGAATTGCTACTTTGTAACGGTCTTTTTTTGAAGGACCGCCAATGGGCAAGTTTGGTTTCAAAAGGTCACTACTTTGAATGATGCCCTAGAGACTCCGTCCTTACTTCTGCAGCAAAAAAAGCTTTCCTTAAGAGAGACAGTAGTTTTGCAGGCATTGTGCAAAGGCGACAGAACGTTTTACTTTGGCATGAAAATGATTTTTTTTTTCAGAAACATCAGCAGTAACAGCTTTCGAAGTACGCCAAATGGTTTGCGCTGTATGAAGAGGGCAGCGAGAGTGCATGTGGTGAATGAGAAGCTCCAGTGGATTGTTCAATTAGTTTTCATTCATCATGCCACGACTACTGCTGGAGAAGCAGTGATGGACACAACAAAGTATCTCAAAGGTGTTGGGCTCTACCAGAAACGACATCAGGAATTGGATCCACACACGCACCCTCGACAGCGCAATAGTTCGGGGGATAATGGAAAGCAACGCGTTACAAAAGAAAAAACCTTTACATTACGAAAAAGAGAACGACGGTGTTGCCAAAAGTAATCGGAGCGTCAAACTCCATCTCGCCTTTATGAAGAAAATGGTCGACTTAAAAGCACCTGTTTTCACCTTTCCTAGTAAAAAAAGGACACAATTCGGCTCCAATGCATTGTAAGATTAAGCGACTTGATAGGGCATAATCTTCATTCCCACCCGCACTTCGACTTGATAGAAGACTTTGGGGAAGGGCGAAGGGGACACTGATTGATAGAAAGCATTGGGGTGCAAAACAGATTTCTTCTCCAAACTTCTCCACACCTCAGGCCACGAGGAAAAGGGATGGTGAAGAGTTTCCTTAAAAACGACTTGACGAAGCAGAACGGCAAATGGCCTACTTCAAAGGATAAAGATAAGACCAACAGCTCGTCGCGGTACCTCGAAATACAAATGCCAATCGCAGACAAGTGCAAATCACGCAGGTTCAAGTAGGAGTTCAGTCTGGTAAACAAACCTTACACGATGAATCTCTACACTGAGGCGACTAATAGCGTAGAAAAGGAAATTAAAAATATTTTCACCAGTATACGCATTAAGAATTAAAAGGAACGTGAAAAGTAGGGAAAATTGAGAAATAGAACTTTTTACAATATCCAACCTTTCCATTTTGTTGAACCCTTAGAGGAAACAACCCGAGAAAGCAGATAATGACTAGGGAGACTAATCTTGTGCTCGAGAAGAATTACGAGATCGAGCCGCTCACTTGTCGGTGAACTGAGTGAGCCGAATGTAGGCGATGCAGGCGGCATCCTCGGAGAGCAGATGGACTGTGGGATTTTGGATGGTGGTCCGAACCGACTTGAACAACGACTTCGGAATGACTGAAAGGCAGTAGAACAATATGGGGATAAGATAGGTGTCCGCCTTGTGGACCACAGTGCTGGCCAACGGCTGTGCTATCGAGAGGTGCAGTTGCAAACCGCACAGCTAGAGTTGGTGGATGTGTGAGTGGCCATGTGATGTGATGTGGTGTGGTGTGGTGTGGTGTGGTGTGACAAGCATAGACCACGAGAGAGAACCTCGAACCAGGGAGGTATGCACACGTACGCACACACTGGAGCTAACTCAGCGGCACTGAATGAGTGAGCGGAGGCGCAAACAAACCGATGGATGGATAGATGGGCAGAAGGACGAGTGGGTGAGTGAGTGAGTGAGGTTAAGTGGCGGCTATTGAAATTACCGTCAAAGTCCTCACGACGTCGTGGTGGCATCTCCGGTTTGTCTAAAACGACACACACAGTCACACAATCTCAACCACAGCAGGTGGTGAAGAGTTAAACGTGGCCAATGTAAGGCTAGACTACTAGCAAGCTCTACTGCTGTTAACGGCCGTAATGATGCTGTGTTGTGACTCAAGGAGGCAGCGCTAACCAGAGGTTAGAGAAAAGAGTGACTGTGTTTCAAAGTGACACTTAAGGGTTACCTCCGATGATCTGGCATTTCTGCGAGTCTACAAAGAAGGGGGGAATTAGACCCCAGTGACAATGTCTACTTTTGGCTTTGTCATTTCATTCTGACTTCAAAAACGTGAAGAACATGAAGTAGAAGCTACTAATCGTATAGTGGGTTGATGAAACACCAACAATGTGTTTGAAGGCAGAGGTGAAGTGAAAACCCACTTGTGAGAAGAGTGGCAGCCCCTCATTCAGAAGTGGTGCATTTAACGTTATCAGATCTCTCAATTTTCCTACATCGCTGAATGGGAGAGCAACTTAACAGATCTGGACTAGAACCCCACTTCCGGTATCAAAGTTGTCGAATAAAGTGTCACAGAGTCAAAAGTCACCCCACTTCTTTGAGCCCTTCATTTGAGGCTTCTAGTTAAAATAGCTAAATTTGTAGTGGAAGATGTGAATACTATGATCTGAGGATCTTTTGAGATTTTAAGAGCTAAAATGGCGAAAGGATAAACCAAGATCAGCTATGTGGTTGGTCAACTTTGACTAGATGCCATGCGATGCTTGAGGATACCCAACCATAGAAATTTGTTGCCTTTCGCTAAACAAGTTGCTCCATTAACATCACTGTCTCAGGAGTTTGTCAACTGGAACACGTCCTTCGGTTGACGACCTCATAGCCATCAATGATGATGAGCAGTCTACCGATAGCCACACGCTCGTGAATAACTACCATCAACTTGATTTACCTAATTGACAAGTTAAAAGTGCACCGAAGCCAATTTAATGCAGTCAACTAGGTGAGCGCATCACGCGTTGAGATTGAAACTGAGAGACGCAAACTCCTACTTCTATTTTCGGTTTTACCTGCTCTCTAGCAGAGCGAAGTGAGAGAGGTGCAGCTGTGATAAAGCAGATCCACAAAGGACCCTTTCGAGTGGATAGCGAATTACTGTGTGTGCGTATGAATGTGGCGATATTTTTACAGACTCGTAAGTGTTAGGTTCTCGTGGACGGAAGCAAAGCTGTCTGACTGTCTCCCAGTTCGTTTGAATGAGTTAAAAATTGCCCTCGTGCCCCACTCACACACATCCACAGTAGACAAGTGTGAATTTGAAGTATAGGAGAGATAAATCCAATGCGAATGCGCAAACCACACATACTTCTGTTCAGTTCATTGTTAGTCAACACTTGCTTCTCCGCCTCCTGACCTATTCAAAGACGAATTCAACAGAGGGACTTTGTTAAGACTTGATTTAGATCAAATCAACACCAAATTCCATACTTCAAAACGCCTTAGCTAAAACCCTCCCCTCCCTCTCCAAAAAATAAAAGCAACAGGAAAATAAACTGGATCAGGATGGGATTAGCCCCAAAAAGCGTGGTACTGTTTCAGACGATTTGGCTATCACACCGGCAGAATGAAGCTCTGTCATGAACAAATGGAACCGCTTCAAACTCATACCGCCCTACTATGTCTGCATAAGCGAGCCAAACAATGCGGTCTTAAAGGACCAAAGCCAGTGAGAAAAAAAGTTCTTGATAGACTGCACAGGAGAGTAGACCAAGAAGCCCAATCACTAATAAACCCTCGACGATCTATGGAATATGAAGGAGAGTGGGAACGCCAGAGATGGTGATTGGATTATGAAGTGGAGAGGAGGATGGAGTGAGGCAGTCAATTAGCAAGAAGACAGAAAGCTGAAAGTGGACGTGTCGGCTACAAAGCACTAGGCGATGGGTGCGATGGGTGAAATGATGGATGCGTTAATAGTGCCATACCGACAGCACCGCCAACACAACAATGCTGCAAAAGTTTGCGGAGAGAGGTGGATTTTAGACGCGCACTCCGCCCACCACCGCTGCTGCTCCCCTTCTTCCGCCGTCCGCCGGGTCTGCTGTCTAGACAGCGGATGGAGGGATGAGGAGCTGGAAATCTGGGTGGGACGAAGCCTATTTGCTAATCTGTTTCCTGTAGCAAGGATCGATGTTTACCCTCTCTAGCCACAGGGACCCGATTACACACGATCTTATTCCTAAACAGCTTCTTTTCCAAAAACAGTGTTACTAAAAGTTTTAGCGAAACAGGGAGCTACTTTTGCAACCGAATAACTTTCAGACGCTCGGATTCACTGTGAACGGGTAGATTGGACAACGGCACTTCGAGGTGAACATAGATCCAAGCGGAAACAACTGTGTTCAACGCAATTACAAGGTTCGGAAAAAAGCGCCTGATGAGACGTTCTTGTGAAACAGAACTCATTTACATTCCTGGTTGTAGTCACTCAATATCTACAAACTGCATTTAACCATTGCCACCTATTGCCTACCGCGACTTCAACTCAAATTCGCATATTCAGAGCCGTCGAAGCCAAAATAACAACCATTCTTTGCGCTGTAACCCAACAAACTGAGCTGGATGCGTCAATGAGCGCTTATCACATCGGCATCATCTCTTCTACGAGGGTCAACAGATCTACGGGACAATTCACGTGCTTCAGAGATTAATCTGGTGATTGAACTTATATACTCATCTCATTATTCATTACGCTTGTGGTTATCACTCGATCGCCATGACAACATGGACATCCCTACCAGAACCTCTGAACTCTATAGCGCCTGCATGATTCGATTGAAGATTCGAGCGAACCTCCAGATTAGAGATAGATAGAAGGTTCAACTCTAGAATTTCTCATTTCACCTCAAATGCTTATCTTAAGGGTCAAAAAATAAACAATCATTTTATTAAAGCCGCTCGGCTCCAGCTCCTACACTGCTGATCAATCACCATGGCCATAAGTTGGTTTTAGCGACGGGCCAGCAAACTTCCCGATTACGTGCTTTTGTGTAACTGCAAAATGGCTTGCTTTACAACTAAAGCGAGTCGCATAAAAGTGAAACAACGCCAAGCTAGCGAGTGCTATGGATCTCATCCTCAAACATACAGCAGTTTCGAGTATGCGGATCAACAAGGGCATATGAAATACCAGCCTTAACGTTCGATTTGGAGGAAATAGGTTTGGTAGTAAGCCTCTTTCGAGTATCGAAGGTGTAGGAGGGAAGTGAAACGGCTCACCTTGGTCAAAGTAGAATTTGTGAAAATCACAGCCCTCAACAAGGGTTCCACGCACGTCCGGCCCGAAGTAGGTAAACTTAGGACACATTAGACGCCTACAACATGAGAGAATAAAATGCATAAAAGACTCCTACGAAATCAAACCATATCTTGCAAAAGAGTCCCATCAAATGTGTAGTTGATGCAGCAACTAATGTGCTGATTAACAAATGCATCTCAGTAAGTGAAAAAAAACTTCACTCTCACAGGTAATTGAAGGCTACCAAGTGTTGGGATTGCCTCGCCCACTGTCAGTGAGAGCAAACTCATATTTAGTAATTAGTTAAGGAAGGAAAGAGGCTCTGCAATAAATCTTGCTAATGTGGACATAGAGTACTTGAGAGGCACAGAAAGAGTAGGAGGAAAGAAGTGATGTTGGGCGTCAACTGCCTAAAGTTCAGAGGGAGCAGTCTTGAAGGAAGGGGAAGAGGAAGTGAAAGAAGGAAGGAAGGAAGATGACTTACGTGTAGCCCTCGTAGTCGCAGGCAGTGGCGGCTGCTAGCAGTTGTTCCGTGAGTCGAATTATTTCATCCTTCCTGTCTGAAAGCCAAGGAGGGAAAGAAAGAGGATGAGGAACGACAAGAGGCTTAAATGAAACACTACCTGCCTCCCTCATTACACCATATTCTTTCTAGATTTATATCCAACCTCATGCAGCGCCAACGTGTAAAACCCTATGCACAAGGGCTTTAATGCACCTTCAGCACCATTAACTGGCAAGCCATTTCAATCTATGGTCTCCTGTGCCTTGAGGTCTTAAAAAGAAAATCTACACCTCCGATTAAAAGGATTGCCAAAGGGAGCTAACAGAATAAACGATAATGGCGCTTCTTTTTATCCAACTGTGGCGTCAACTGCTACAACAAAAAATGACGTTTAGCTCAACAAAACTCCCTTCAAAACAATAATCTCATCACACCGACAAATTGTAGAAAGGCAAATGATGATGACGGATGTCGGCTTTATAGGTAATGGCACAAACCTGAGTACCACGAAGAAGAAGAAGAATGAAGAGAGATAAAACTTACCTCATTTACTCCTCCTTCATACCATTTCGCACACCTTTTCAGCGGTATTATTGGCACCGCTTATGCAACTGTAATCTGTTCAATTCAAGAAGCACCACTACTGCTACCGATAGTACCAATAAAGGACTAAAATTTCGCCCTTCCTTGCTTTGGACCCGCCATTTGGGTAAGACAACTGATAAATAGAATTGTTGGATTTTAGAGAATTACGCAATCTTTCAGCCTCCCCTCCAATTCGGTGTCCACAACAGTGACAAGGCTTTGCTCGCAAAACGTATGCCGCCATCAATCTGCATCCAATGAAGTGCACCTTTTAAATGACAAAGCTGTCACAACCTCAGCGGAAAGCATCCCCGAAAATCTTTATTTCGATTCCTGAAAAGTGTACTACGATGTCAAAGAAAAGTGATACATTTACTGTGGATGGATAAACCTGCTGAAAGCGGCGACTAAGGAGGCTACGAAAATGGTCTTGATTTTTTAGCGAATCCATCAGCCTCGACTGCTACAGGATGCTCAGTGGTTGAAAGAGATGATGAACAATGGCCATCCCATTTTATCTTTCATGCACCCATGGCCATGCAGAACAAATGGTCGATTTCGTGAAGATCCCAGAGCCGCTAGCAGGCTTGGAATCTAAGGTCTCCTTACCTTGATCTCCTGCTTCGACCATGTCTTCGGCTTAAAAGGAACATTTGTACCTCGAATTAAAGTGCATAGCAAAAAGAAGTGCTAAAAATTAATAACATTAGACAAGCCTTCACAATCTTCCACAAGGCTCCACGCATATCACATTCATGCCACCATTCTACGTGCCTACAATAAGTCAGTGACAGCGTCGAGGAGTCCTCTCCGAAAGAGTCGCAAGCCGAAGTGTAGCATTCGATACGCAGGG